AAATGTGGCTTCTCTCTTTTCTTGATAGTTAATCAAATTCGTTAACACCATATCTCGAACTATTATCTTTCAGTTCTTATTTACAAATAATGTACAATTTATTATATCAAACATATAAACAACTTTAATGAGACATAGTCATGATTTTCATTAGTGAATGAAATCCTCTTTTCATTGATATATTAATTTTTTCAACTAGCCATTTTTCATGTTGTTCCTATAATTTCTAAGATTAAAAATAACATAAATGTTAATATTGGTTGAAATCACTTGTTTGAATTAACTCAGTAAATGACACTATGAAATAATATATATACACGTGTTTGCAAAAAAACTTGAAAAACTTCTTCCACAGATATCTTCCTCTATATAAGTGCTCTTCGAATTGTTTTATACTGTGATAGATAGCCCACAAAGAGTACTATACAACAATATAATTTCATATTCTTTTGATTGACTTATAAAAAAGATATTATATAGATATCTCGTTTCCTTGGCCACATCAGAAGTATTTGTCATGGATATTTTAATTTTTTTTGACTTTTTCACCTGAAAAATATTGGAGTTCATCACTCTTTTTTTTTGAATTTCTTCTCTAAATATTGTATTGAAGTATTTGCAATAGAACTCGCACATTTTGTTATACAATATTTCCTCAAACAAGAGCTCTCCCAAGTTTTGTATAGGAATTAACGGCCTACAACGAGTAATATCGAATATCATAGTTCAATATTTTATTCGTTTACCTTTACCGTCGATAAGAGACAAACATCTTTTTTTCATAGACATCATACAATTGTTCACAATATTAATATCAATATTTTCGAATTCTTCAGCTAAAAATAGTTCCAGCTCATCAATATTCATTGGTTCTCTTTTTTCTCCGTTGTGTTTCACGATTAATCAGATATTTTCGATCAGATTTACATCAGGACTATTCGATGACCAATCTAATAACTGTGATACATTTTCGTTGATAAATCCTTGACAAATATTACTCGTGTGTTTGGGATCGTTGTCCTCCTATAAACACCAATTTGGACCAAATTAGTCTAAAAATGAAAGAGTACACAAGTAATGCTAAATAATTTCCTTCCTTACTCACGTTTGGCAGCTGGACGAAGATAATCGTCAAGGATAGAAACATAATATGGACCATCAAGATTGGATCGAAATGTGTGACATGTTAATACACCTTTCACGTTTATCGCACCCCAAACATGAACCTTCTGACGGTTTTTAGGTAAGCATTAAAATTCTTGATCAGGATATTTTGTCCATCGGCGAACTGTATTACGAAAAAGATGGAATGAGGATTCATCTGTAAATATTGTATTATTGAAATCATCATTTATATGTTTCTTGATCCATTGTACACGTCGTTGTTTTTCATCCGATGTTAATATGTAAATAGATTGAAGTAAAATATTTTAATAACTATATTCGTGAAGGTGACGACTAATCGTTGATGTAGACACTGATTTATGGTGCATTCTCGATAAATTTTCTTTTATTTCTTTAAGAGTTATTTCATTATTATACCGAATGTATTGAACTATAGCTTTTGTTTCTTTTCCGCCTAGGACACGTGATCGACCGTTTTCACCTTGATGTTTAAGTGAACCTGTTTGTTTTAATTTATCAATATTGTAATAAATAGTGCTCAGTAGAATGTTTGTTTCACGATGAATAAGAGAAGCAGATCGTATGTCCCTGTTCCCATAAGATAAAATTGAAATATAATGATTTTTCAATTTATATGCGCCAAACTTGTGACACTACTTCTGGTAACTTCATAACGATTAGCAGCGACGCCAAGATTTTTGGTCAAGGGAAGGAGCTGAGTCCTCCTCTACTCTCCTGTGATGTTGTCACTAATAACCATAGAAGACGTAAGCCTCTTAATTAAGAGAAATCTATCTTTTTCTTCTTACAGATAATCACTTTCTAGTAATAGAAGATAGATACATCCAACATGACATATATATTTTTTCCCATCGAATAGCCAATAGAGAGATATTTTTTTAATATATGTATTTTTTTCTTTGTTATTGGAAGAGGAACAAAGTGCTTTTTACAAATCATATGCATTCTTTTTATGCAGCTAGTTTGTGACAATAGAAGATAGATGTAGTTTGTTTAAAAAAATTTAATTCTTTTCTAGTATGAGATAGAAATCAATAGCTTAATAAAATTCTTTTTTTCTTGATAGACAATAAATAGAAATAAAAAAAAAACATATCTCTTATTAAGATATATGTACTATTTATTTTTCTCTATAAAGTACATATTTCTTAATGCAAATATATTACTCTCCAAGTAGTAATAATTCGATGGCGATAGAGGATAGACCCTATTTATTATATATATATATGCATTGGTTTTCCGTTAAATACCCAATTCTTGACGTTAGATAGATATCTCGTATTAAATATACATGAATGTTTTTCTTCCATGAAGTAATCAGTTCATACATAGTGGTAGAAGAATGTATACATCTTGTCTAGTGCAAGTCTATTTTATTTTTTATCTCATATTCAGTTATAAAGATAGAGAGAAATTCAAATAGTATTAAAATGTATACTCTTTATTTTCAATGAGTTGTTTGTTCATAAGATAGAGTCATTCCCTATCTGATATAAATTAGTTAGATAATATTACATCTTCTGTTTTACATGAGTTTGAAATCATTTTATTATCAACGAAGTTTTCCTTAATGTCGACTCGAGAATTAAAGTATTGTATCTAATAATAATATTTTTAGTATATAATTATTTTTGTCTTTTTTATTCTAGTTGCATAGAGATGCGCTTTAGTCAGCATATTCTCTATTTAAATTTCCACGAAATTATGTTAGACATTGCAATCATACAGAGATAAAAATGTTCAGAATTTAAATTTGTTAGTATAAATGTCGTTTATAATATCTCCAAAGTATATTCTTAGTTGTGTAGTACTTTAAATTTTCTATATACACCTATCTAGTTAACAAATCAATAACACATCTTATAATATCCACAAACTTAATGGCAGGAAATACTTGATCGAAAAATTTAAAGTATTGTACAAGTAAAAATATACTTTGAGAGAATTCTAAATAACTGTTATTTTTGTTTTGTCACATTTACGGTGAAGAGTTAGAATCTTTAACATTCTTATTTCTGTACAATTGAATGCATAATGTGATTTTGTGAAAGATTAAATAGAGAATATGCTAACTAACAAGCATCTCTATGCAACTAGAGTAAAATAGCAAAGTAAAACCTGTTATATACAAAATATGCACATTTGGACAGCATTAAATTTCTTCGATTTTTGTGGAAAAAAGTTCACCTTTTTTTTGGACATTAAAAATGTTGATACCAAAAAGCTGTACAAAGGGAATAAACTACATAGAAAATAAGGCACAATTTTTTTCAAGACCAATTTGGTACAAAAAGTGAAACGTCCGTCTGACTGAGCGTTCAGAACTCAATATAAAAAATAAAGAAGTAACTAAGGTGAGCATCAGCGAACAAAATCTTATGTTTCATATAACATGCATAGCTATTCAATATACACATCGTAAAGAAATTATACAACAACAATTGCAAAATATGATTTAGTAGATGTATTCTCAATGGACATGCTAAAATGATTTGATCAAATCAAAACTCTTCTATAAACTTGATTATACAAGAAACAAAAAAAAGAAAAATGTAATATGAAATTTTATATGAATATAACTTGAATCATTTGATAGAATAATTCACTCATATACACAGTATATTTTTATATAATGTTCAAATTTGAGAAAAAAAAGAAATCATGTAATTTAATTAACTTATCGCTAGACGTTTAGTATCTGAGAAAACATAGATATCCACCACATTATGATCAACCACAGTGACGCGTCAGAAATTTTGTCTCAGACTTTCATGTTTACAATTATGAGATTTGGAAGTCAAATCAATTAAATGAATTAATATCAGCAGATTTAATTCATTACATTAATGATAATGATAATGATAATTGAAAAAATTGTTTCAATACCATTACAGTAGGGATGAATCAATGGGGGTGTGGATGATTAGAACAGCCATCAATCTCACACACCCACATTCATACCCTTGATCGCAATCAACAACTTATTGCTAAAAAGAATTCACAATACTGTTTGTTTTTCTTTTCCTTGACATCTATTACAATTGCGTCGAAACATGACCAGTCTCAACCAATTATGCGTAAATGTGACTTATCATTGCGTCGTAATGTATTAAAACAAGTTATATGAAATTGATCGAAGACCTTGTAAGCAAAATAAATTGTTTCGATATTAATATTCTTTTGCTGCAAAAGAGAATTAAATATTAAATTCGTTATTTCATGAAGTAACAATTTATTTATTTATTTTTTTGTAAGAATCGAATCTTGAGGTTAATTTTGAGATAAAAGTTAATCATACTAAAATATTTTCATGTTAGATTAACAATAATGAAGAAATAAAATAAATCTTTAACATTAGACGATAGTCAATCATTTGAGTATTATCTTTCAGAATGATTCTCATTAGTTCATTTTTTCTTTTGATCTAATAACTATTTACGTAAGTATGTTAACAACTGCTGAATGTCTGCTTTTCTTCATTCAAGATAGAATTTCTATAAATAGCTAATATCCAGTGACAGAAAGATAAACTATGTTTTTTTCTTCTCCCATATAATATGTATCAAGAGAAGAAAAAGACTTATTTCTGCTACTCGTCATTTCTGACTTGTTAAGTACATAGTATAATATTGATGTATGTATATACACCAGCATATGTCTTCCGTAGAACGGAATGAATTACGAACATCTTTCTCAGTGAGTTGTTGTGGAAATGCCAATCGTATTTCAGCGATATTTTCTGAGAGAGTAATCAATAGTAACGAGAGCGAGAAGAATGGCAATGATAAATGAGTCGAAATTATTCATTTTCTTATTCAGAAAAAGATACGTACAGTCGCATTAACAAATAAATAATGAGTTCAGCACAAAAAGGTAAATTTTCTAGGAAAATTTTTTTGATTAACGTTATTCATTATTGTTAATAGCTGACAAGACAGCTCAAGCAGCTGATATTGCCAACGCTCATAGAACTGGTCAGGAGACATCAGACAATGATCCACGCAAGAAAGCGGATGGAGAAAATCAAGGTTGGCTTTCAGGCGATCAATTTACAATTGCCGAAACTCCTGTTGCTCATATAAATGCAACAGCTGGAACCAAAGAATAAAACATTGTGCTATGGAGTGAATAACGATTGATTTTTCTATATAAACAAGCAATTTTACCTATATGTGTGTGTTCAAACATTTTCTATGTAAAATAAATCCTATCTATTGACCTAATCTCATATATTGTTTTCTTGAATTGAAAATTTTGCATATTTTATCTATCGATCAATAAAATATTATTAAAATTGATTTTTTTCGTGGTGAATAAAACAAATGAAAAAGCAAAAAGTGAACATTCAGATACATAATTCATATTCAATCCAAACATTTTTTGAGTAATTATTGACTCAATCATTTCTATATTCGATGTTCACAATCGCTATGAGGAAAATTAATAGTTCACAGACAAAAGAACATATCCAACTGTCAGATACCGTTCAATTTCATATCATGACTACGAGTAGATGTCTCTAAAAGACTAATAAAAGCTTAAAAAGGATTCAGGCCTATGATCTACTGCTGATTAACTCAGGAAATTTTCACGAAGATTGAGGCATTTCCAAAAAAAAAACTCATAATAATACTATGAAGGTCTAATGAATTTTTGACTTTGACGTACATGTTAAATGAAGAAATTTCAAATCTGTATTTCTAGATATAGCTCTTTCCGATTCTTAACTGGTGTAAGTGTAGATGTTTAGTCTTCTCTTCATCTGTACGCACATCCATACCTATAATCACACTCTGGATATGTGCCTTTCAAGAGAAAAATTAAAATAATATCTGATTTACTATGCATGATATTGTATCACGTGTCATAGAATTAGGGTTCAGTGTAACCATCATGAATCACGGTCATGATTGCTAATAATTTTCTTAAAATTTCGTGACCACGATTGAACTTTTATCATGAAGAGTCACAGTCGTTCAAATAGTCATATATCTTTTTATTTCTTTGAGCAGATTAGATGTTTCATAACACTAATGACTCCGTTTTTTTTGCGTAGATTCTATGTCTGTAACTATTTTTTCTATGCGATAAGCGATGGACATAAATATCATAATTTATAGTTTTGAAACAATAATAAATATCAAACTTTAGATTTATGATCCTTTTCGATTTCTGAGTATGCTTTTATAATCTTGCTTGTCATTCGACATGAATGTTTCGAGCATTTTTATTCATACAAATATCAACAATCATTCACATTTCAACTCAGCACTCAGGCTGAAAAAGCACAATTGTAAACAGCCTTATACGAAGACAAACGTTCGATTATGATTGTTGTTTACCATGAACGTAAACGACGTTCATGCACGATCGTGATTTATTAATTTATTCAAAAAAAAAAAAAAAAATAAACAATTTTTTTTCTTTAGTTTACGACAAGAGGCGTCAGAGAAAGTTGCCCCTCCTCTTCCTCTTTATTGAGGAGAATATTATGTAATTACGATGACAAACGACATCGTATATGACACGATGACATACAGTCGTAATTCTGGACCCAAGTAATACGATCGTAATTTACATTGTGTACGATTGTACACGATTGCATATGACGTCGTTTGCGGCAATTTACGACTGTTGCAATGCTCGTCCTGGATATTGAGTTGGCTGCTTTTTCAAAACGATAAAAAAGTTCCTTGCTGATAATCAACAAAGTGCTTCATTCTCTATTTGCTCATAAAGTCTTTTCTATCCAAACAAATGCGGCTTGAGAGTGTGATTGTGGACGTAAATGTTGAATGTGAAGATTTTCTGTTCACAATCACACTCTGACAGGTTCTTTCAAGAAAGTTGCTTTGTAGTGATTGCGAAAAGATTTTCTTCCATTGTTTTAAGAAAAGAACCTTTCTTTGAGTGTTCTAGAAGAATTATTCGTAACACTAATGATATATATGAAGTTCTTTAGATTCTTTTTCAATAGTCGATATCATTAATGTCATGATTGTTACTATCAGATTTATAACCAACTTGAGTTTTATTGAACAAAGAACATAAATATATCAAAATGGTTTATCATCATGGATAAGAAATTGTACTTATTATATATTGCTGATTCTCATGTAACTTAGATTAGTATAGCAATGGAATACATATCGGTAGCTTTCGTTTTGTTATTAGTTGTGTGCATCGCTCAATGCCAAGTGAATTTCAATGGGAAGAAAATGAGAATGTCTCGATTGGATGCACAACAAAAGTTGGATGAACTTCATCTGGTTGCTTCAAGTCTTAATAAGGAAATAACAATGAAGGCAAATCCAACAAGAGCTCAACTTCATCAATGTATTGCTGAATGTACTATGACTCGAGATTTTTCAAATTCATTGATTTTATCTTCGAATTGTTCACGCCGTATATCGTCGTATGCATGCATGATGCACATTACTATCTCCTATGAACTTAGCTCTTATCAAATCGACTTTTTGACAACTGGTTCCGAAAATGATCCTAATACTGATCTCGTCACCAGTATAGTACAACAAAATATATCAGTATTATATGGTTTGTCGTTTGATTACCAGTATAGAATGATATTCAGCTGTTATGTTGATAATGAATGTGATTGGAATTATGCACGTCAAGTCATCAATAACTTTATCAATGTAAACTACCAACCCTTACACAATTCTTTGGCTCCATTATTGTACAATAGTGCAGCAAATAATGTTAGTGAATGTTATGAAGGGGATGTTCTGATGACTTGCACTAATGGTGTATGTACTTCGATTGCCAACAACGGTGTATCCTTAAATCGCACGTGTTTTATTTCAATAGGCATAACGGTTGGCATTGATATAGCTCGTACTCGATTCTTTCCAGGTCCATCTCTTACCGATGGAGACGGATTTTCTTTTTTTTGTAATCGAGATCGTTGTAATAGTCAAAATACAGAAAATTCAGTACACTCAATTATTCATAATCATAACTCTTTATTGGACATCATTGAACCGTTAACAACGACTACACCAACGACTCCACATGTTTCATCAACAACAAGCCATGGGTAAGAAATAATAAAACAATTTTGTTTTCTGTTTTTGAAGGACTTGAAAAATATTTTTAAAATATGGTTCGATAGAGAATTCATTTTTCTAGAAAACCGTTGGATGCGATTTTTCAAAATTAACTTTTTTCTTAGTGCAAAATTTTAAAGATCAACATCTATTCAGCTGTGAATCTGTGACAATCAAAACAAAAGCGGAAAGTTAATTACAAAAATCTTTCCGAAAAAATCTCTCGGCAATTTCAAATGCATTATAAAATTCTAGATAGAATGCAGTATTTATTTATATACTTTTCAAATCTACGTATATTTTAGCGAAAACTTATATAAAAAGGAAAATATCATTCATTCAATTGAACATTTAGACTATTTTGTTTAGAATTGAATTCTACATAGAATAGTATGAGAAATAAGGTTTCATATGACAAGGCTAATTTGGGAGGACATGCTTACACAAATTGATTGAGATCTAGAAATAAAAACAGGAAATCACTGATGAACAAATGAATAGATATTGATATTAAAAATTTAGTGTCGACGAATAAGACCAATTTGAAACAATACATTCGATGATTTCGCAGAGAAATAAGTTTTTTGCCGAACGAACTTAAAATCAGATTTGAAAAAAACATTTTCAAGTCCATCAAAAAACAGCAATTAAAATTGTCTCATGATTTTCTCGTTATCTACTAGAACGACTACTATTTTTGAATCTTTTTCTAGGAATCAAGTAACAGCTGCTCACAATGGATGTGTCATTATACTATTGTCAATTGGAATATTGTGCCAATATTTTCAAAAATATTTGTACTATTAACCATGTCTTAATCGGCAAGCGAAATTTAATAGACTCATTTTTTTTTGACGAACATTATCGCATATTAACTTAACCTAGTTTATTGATTATAATAAGAAATAAAGTTATAGACAGCAGCTAGATTTCAACGCCATAACGAAACACTTAGTAATCATTGAAGTGAACGATAATACACTGAAGGAACGAGCGGCTATGTTCAAAATAATTTCTATGCATCGAAATTTTACTCTCATCTGTCGATCGTTTTTGTTTTTTCATAATTTTCTATATCATGTTTTTGCCTACAATGTTCTCCATAGGTCTTGTTCAACTGATTTATCATCGATCGATAACAATTGTCAAACAATTATATATACATTTCGTTTTTACTATGATTAGAAATGCAAAGTTGAATTAGTGACATATTTTGTTTTGTTTATATGATTTTCGAAATGATCAGAGTCAATCGTTGACAATTGCATTGAATGTATATATCTAATAACATGTGCATTAATCTTAGAGAGATTATGCTGTAAGGTTTTTGCAATGAGTCAGCATTTTGAATCATCAATATATTTCTCCTTTTCTCTAATTGTGCACTCGAACATAGTCCATACATTGGCCTTCGTGAGAACATGTCGATTGGAACTGAATGATCATGCTAATGAGACAGATTGTAAATATTATCGAAGGTATACAGTAACATTTGAATAGAAATCTTGTTGTTGATGTTTGCTTTCTAATGATATCGTACAAACAATCAATGTTCATCCAGCCAAAAGTGACTTCGATACGAGTTGACCAATTGATCGACTTCTTCCTCTTTGTTGCTTCCATCTCCATGTGAAAATATCGTTCGAAATTGAAGCACTTTCAGCTTTGATAAACTATTGACAATAATCTATTGCCATTATTTTACATCGATACATGTGCATAAATTCTCAACAGATAACTGATGCAAATTAGAAATGTTACACAAAATTTACATTAGAATACGGTGAAAGCATATCGATAAGTCCTAATTAAGTCATTGACAGAACAACATATGACCATTGTTGAACATCGATTAGATCTTAACATGCACAGATATTGAAGAGAAGGTAAACTCGAAACTAGTTGAAGAGAAGATTGTCAAAGTAAGGTTTAAAAGTATGGAAGCTACGAAGAAAATGAAACACTTTGAAATATTGAAACAGATCGAGCAAAAACTTGTTAGCCAACAATTCCAAAAATATATATTGTTTATCTAACTTGCATTTCGTTTGCTGTTGAGATAAGATAGAATATTCTGTCTTTCTTGCTCGACAAATAGACTTTTTTTCTCATACATGGTAAAATGAATTGATGTCAAAGCAAGAGGATATCATTGAGATATCCGTCCGGTAATGAAAATGGATCGAGTAAGGTCTATTCTGCTACCTGAAATCTCTCGTCAATTGACATTAACACCATCTAACTTCATGTTTTCACATTGGCATTCTCTGCTATCGCTTGTTGATTTCATGTTTAGTTATTTCATTGACCATAGAAAAAGAATTTCACTACTTCCCATTCTGTACACTAGTCAATACTTCGACCTCGGGAAGACGAGTGAAATCATTGTTGACTTAAGAGAATGGAGGAGGAAGTCGCAATCCCTACTTTTTTTGTTTTTATTCAGTAGGCTCATTCGATAGAGAACGTGTTTTGCCCGAATTATGGCAGGTAGAAGATCAATATTTTCACTAAAATTTTGCTTCCAGGGTGTGTTTAATCTTTGGTCAATGTCGAACTTAAAACTACGTTGAGAAAATAAACCCGAATGATTGTCTAGAAAAAAATCTCGAATATATTATGACAAATTATGCCATAAGAGCCTCTTAAGAAACTCACATATCGAACGCACATTGCAATCTTCTACTCCACAAGAGAAAATGGAAATTTTTTTTGTTCTTAATTCACTAAGTTAACCTATATGCTAAGTAAAAATTGGTATCAATCGAAGTGTAAATCAACCATTCGAAACTCACCCTTATCCTTTGCTTGTAAAGAGAGTGTAGGTGAGAGTGGTGAGGATCTTCTCTTATTCCATCCACACCCACCCTCTGGTTATATGGGATGACAGGTTGAAACATTTATTGAACGAATGTGAATGCCATAGAAGAAAATAGGGAAGTCTATTAGATGCGCTTCATTCGCACAATGATATCGGTACTAATATGCACGAATCAACAATGAGACGGCAAAGAGATTCTTCTTTCACGTGCGACAGATCGACGGTTTCTATGTCAGAATTATCGGATTCCAGCAGAAACATCAGACAAACTGATGCACCTACCGCAAGCCATAGGATGACTTATAACTGCCGATGTAAAATGTTTTTTTTTTCGTTGATGAAATCTGATAAAACTCAAAAAAGATTTATCGTCTGCTATTTGTTTGATACTCGAGCAGGCATTCTAAATAAAAATATCAACAAGTTTACTTGTTTAAAATTTATATTATAATATAGGCTCGAATCAGAAAATCAATCACTCTAGTTTGAGTATTAGTAAAATACGCTCTAACCCACTCCAACCACGGTCTAACTCGAAGTTAATATCAATCGATAGAGCTTAGAATTCTTCACCCAGGAGACCCTACTCTAAGCCATTTTCTTTGAAAAATCTTTGATAAAAGAATCAAATACCATTTTTATGGGTCCACTCCAGCCCGCTCTAAGGCAATTTTTCGCGAGAAAATGAATAACTCATAATAATAAACCACTCTTTGATTCATTTTAGACCTATCTACCTTGACATCACTTTCACCATTGTTGAAGCTCCAAGGTCACACCTGGTAGTAAGACTTAGAGTTAAACTTAGACGTCCAATATCAGACTTTTGAAATAACGGTGTGTAGGTTCATCTCTAAGTCTTACTACCAGATGTGACCTTAGACCTTCAACAATAGTGAAAGTGATATCAAGGTAGATAGGTCTAAAATAAACCAAAGAGTGATTTATTATTATGAGTTATTCATTTTCTCACGAAAAATTGCCTTAGAGTGGACTGGAGTAGACCCGTAAAAATGGTATTTGATTTTTTTATCAAAGGTTTTTTAAAGAAAATGGCTTAGAGTGGAGTCTTCTCAGTGAAGAATTTTGAGCTCTATCGATTGATATTAACTTCAAGTTAAACCGTGGTTGGAGTGGATTAGAGCGTATTTTACAAATATCCTCTCTTGTGTCTTTTATACTGAAGTCGACATGCTTCCTTATGAGAAATTTCGTTTATTTCTTTAATGAAGTTACTACAACGAGAAATAGTTGCTGGTAAAAACTTTAAAACAACAGTGTCCTAACACATCTCAATGTATGAATATGGTTCTCTACCGTTTTGTATTAAAAATACATCAGCTGTTTCTAGCATTAACTGAAAGGCTTCAAAAATGCAATCAACTTAATGTCTGAATGACTTATATACAATAATACTTACAACAATAAAAAGCAGCTTCGTGAAAAACTCCAACATGAATAACACACAAAGATATTTCCATATATAATTGAAGTTAAATATAACATATTAATGTCCATTTCAGAGAGGGTTGGTGGCCGTAGGTATTTTTTTAAATAACTTTCCATAGAAACGCGATAAAGACTTGCGGTTTTCACCGTTGGAAAAAGGAGATGAAGACGCATCGGATCATATATAGAAAGACTTTTTCTAACTACTTTTCTAAAAGTTCCGCTCAAACGTTTTCAAATAATTGCTTTTTTCTTCTACGTTAAAAAAAAGAGATTTTTCTATCAAAATACTAGAAAAACTTATATTGTTTGGATATTTTGTTGAAAAAGTGAGATGATAAATTTTGTCTTCCATGATATGGATATCTTACTGGCAGTAGTTAGGAATAGAATCTTGATATGGTTTTGTAGCTCTTCATTTGGCGGTTCTAGCACAGTCCTGAAAATCAATAAATTAATATCGCGACCATGAGAGACATGCTATTTTCCTAGAAGCTTTATGTAAAACTCTTATGAAAATAATCAGAAAAATCTTTTCATATATGGTTCGACATGTCTTCATTTTCTCTTTACAATGGTAAAAACCGCAGCTCTATAGATCAATCCGTTCAAAAGCTATTCAAAAAATATCCACGCGCCTTCTTTTTTGAAACGGGCATTAGCACATGTGTATTACTAAGCACAAAACCAAGACCAAAAACGATTGGTCTCACTCATCAATAGTACTGCGGTATACCGATTATAGTGTGAACAACCGTGCAACATGAGAAGATACATGACTAACGAATCTGTCTGGCAGAAATCGAAAGTGTTCGAAAACAGTTAAAATCAGGAATGCGCAGAGTTAGTGTAAGTACTGAACAATAAAGCACCAAGACAGGATTCATTGAGTACTGATTACAGTGGCATCGATGTAGGGTGTGGATGTGGATGTGGATGTGGATAAAATGAACACCCACACTTCTACTCTCATCCACGCCCACACCTACACCCACCTTACCCACATCCGCATCCACATCCACACCGATACCACCCGCACCACACCCACACGCACCCACACCCACCCACACCCACCCATACCCACACCCACCCACACCCACACCCATACCCACACCCACACCCACACCACACACTCACCCACACCCACACCCCACACTCACACCCACCTACACCCACCTACACCCACACCCCACACCCCCCCCCACCCCCACACCACACCCACACCCTCACCCACACCCACCCACACCCATACCCGAATTTCATCAACACCTATATTTGGAAGTTCAGCTATTTTATTGAAGTTTTGAACTGAAAAATTCACTTAGTATCATGCACATTACTAATTCTGCTGTTTGTTAGATATATGCGATATCTAATACATTAACATCATCCAATTTCTGTATTTCTTTCCATATACAATTCGCTGCTTCCTGTATGATACTTCTTAAACGTTTTCGTTCATTTTCGCAAATGAATTCTACAAGATATTTGACATCATCCGTGTAAAACTCAAGTAAATCCCATGCCGTATGGCCTG